GGGAAGGGAACGGCTCCACGGAGACGGAGCGACGGAGCCACCTCTTGTGCGGGGGCGGCGACGGGCGGGTTGTCGCGTCGCGGCACTGCGAGAGATGATGGCAGATTCATCCAGCAGTGGATTGAGCAAAAGACGATGACGGTGCACAGCGTGCATTGCAAGGGTACTACCGGTGCACTGTCGAGTTACTCGGGGCGAGTCACCTGGCCAAATCGGTGCATCTCTCACACACATCGATGCTTGTGAATAAATCACCCAGAAAGCATCCCATCCCGTCAGATCTCAGAAGCTAAGCAGGATCGGCTGCGGCTAGCGTTTGCACGGGCAAACGGCATGCATAACAGGCGGCGTAGGCTGCTGCTGCTGCGGAGCTACGTTGTGCATGTACACGTATGTTGAACTTCTTTCGGACCGTACGTAGCCAACCGTGCTCATAATCGGTTGGCAGCAGAGGACAACTAACAGTCGTGCAGTATATGCCCATGCTCCCTACCTTCAGCAACTCGCTCTGACAAAAAGCGTGGCGAAATATGGTGAAACGCCCCCAGGGATCCACACGGGGGTTACTGGGAGGCCCTCTTCCAGCAGGGAAGAGGGCCTCCCAGTAACCACTACTCACCACCACTACTCACCACCACTCACCACCACTCACCACCACTCACCACCACTCACCACCACTCACTCACCACTCACTCACCACTCACTCACCACTCACCACCACTACTCACCACCACTCACCACCACTACTCACCACTCACCACTATTCACCACTCACTCACCACTCACTCACCACTATTCACCACTATTCACCACCACTCACTCACCACTACTCACCACTTACTCACCACTCACCACTCACTCACCACTCACCACCACTCACCACTACTACTCACCACCACTACTCACCACCACTCGCCACCACTCATCACCACTACTCACCACTCACCACTACTCACCACTCACTCACCACCACTCACCACTACTCACCACTCACCACTACTACTCACCACCACTACTCACCACCACTACTCGCCACCACTCACCACCACTCACCGCGGTGCGGTGCGCACGCGTTTGTCAGCAGCGCGTCACTGACGAGTGAAGGAGGGGAAAAAAAAAACCGCCCGGCCGCAACAGCAACCCGCGCGGCGCAGAGAGGCGCAGGGAGCATCGTAAATATCGCACGCGCACACCGGATAACACCGCGGCGTTGCCACGGACACGCCGGGAGGCTACACGCACGGGACGGCCCGCAGACGCTTTTCTCAAACACGGCGGCACACAACGGAAGTCAGCGCGGTTTCCGACGCTTCTGCGCGCGAGATTCCGTGCATGAATGAAAAGATGGATCATTGGGGCGCCGCCGGGGGGGGGGAGATGTTATCTCCCTCGCCCGGTATGCGGGAGATCGTGGGTTCGACCCCGACCCTGACGATGCCTGTATATTTTGTGTAAGCGTGTCCTCTCTACCAGCGTGGATTTTTCTCCGGGTCCACCGTTTTTTCCCCTCCACATTTAGAATCAACATCGCGCTTTTGAGAGTATTTGGCTGCTATAAATTCCCACGTGATGAGCCACTTCGTTGAGCCATAAATTGTGGCCAGGCCACTTCTTAAAAAGAGCGAAATAGCTCAGTGGGCCTTACCTGGTGAAATAAAAAAATAGTTTAAATATTTGTTAGAATGTGCGGCGACGGGGGGGGGACAGTGTGCCACCGTTATCGTGAGCTACGAGCTATCCACTGCTGGATGAAGGCCCACCGCCCGGGGGGGGGGGGGGGGGGGGGTGGGGAGTTTCGGAAAGACCACGGTATAATCGTATCGGTGTCACTGGGCCAGGGGACGATCGCTGCTCACTCTCCACAGAGCGATACCTAATTTTATCGACCCCAAAGAGAGATGATGGGCTGAGTCGACCACCGACTAGGATTTTCACCCAAACCCACAACCCTTCCGACCGCGAGCAGCCCGAACTGTGACAGCCGGGCGGAGTCGAACCCCAAACATCCGCGCGGGCAATGCAGGACGCTCTGCCGAGCACAATCAATGCCCGCAGCCGTTTAATCCCGCCTGTGTCTCGCTCAACGCACTTAATTAGGGCAGTGCCATCCGTCAAGGGACGACAGCGGCGGTGCTCCATCGCACGTCTCATCTTAAACGCTCGAAGAATTTTCTCGTTTACGAACTCCTCTGCACTACATCCTCTTATATTGCAGTTGTTATTTTAGCGGGCGCTTGGCGAGGGACATTTAGGGATGCGAGGTCTACAGGATGAAGTAAACAAAAGGTCAAACAGGCCCCGATTTATGGCCATGGAAGCATCTCTCCCAGCAGTAGCTCATGGAAAAATAATTTCAAAACATTTTTTGGCCCAGCGCACAGCAGAGGGGGGACAGCCGCTGCGCCACCGCCGCCGCTATACCGAGCTCATTTCATGCCGAGTCAACCTAGGGGAGGCACTCAAAGAGGATTCAAATGGCAAAAACTGTACTCGTTCGTCAGTAACACACCACAGTAACACAGGGCAGTAGCACAGAGCAACACAGTAACACACCGCAGGAACACGAAGTAACAGAGTAACACAGTAACACACCACAATAACACAGAGTAACACAAAGTAACAGAGTAACACAGTTCCACACCACAATAACACACCACATTAACACACAGTAACACACCACAGTAACACAAAGTAACACAGAGTAACACAGAGTAACACACCACGGTAACACGCAGAGGAAACAAATTATATATTGGGCGACATTTCAGGAAATGGCCCTTCTGCATAGCAGATAGATAGAGAGGCCAGAGATGAAAAATAATAATAGTGAATAATGATAGAATAATAGTGCATAATAGTAAAATTATAAGTGAATATAATAATAGTGAAAAGTAATATTAAAATAGTGAAAAGTAATTTCGCTAAATTAAAATAGTGAAAAGTAATAATCGTGAATAATAGTCATGTGGTGGCGGGTTTTAATGACACATTGTATATATTTACGCGATCTAACCCAAAAAAACTCCATGAGGAATAATAGTAATATTCTAAGAATAGTGAAAAATAGTAATAATTATAGTAATAGTGAAAAATAGGCATGCACGAAATGTCAAGGGCCCATGTTAAAAATGCATCTTGAAACTAAATGTGTAAAATTGTACTCATGGAGTCTCTTTGGCCCTCCCTATTTCTCTGCTTTCGAAGCAGGGCCCAGTGACCCACAGTGGAATATTTCCTCTGAAAGGCGCACAGCATTATGGACGGACGCGTTGAACTAACGCAGAGTCACAATTTATGCATTTTTTTTGCTTCAATTCCCGAGACTGTGACTCACTTGCGGCGGAGTCCACCCGGCAAAGAAGGCCCCCCGCGCAAACCGTTCACCGCCAGCCGACCCTCGACGCGCACGCACGTAACCTGACCCACCGCGGGCTTGAACCCGGGGCTCCAAAGCTCAATTTCATGCCGAGTCGATCGAGCGGTGGCTGTCGTTCTCGCCCCACGGCGGCGGCGGCGCTGCCGTTCGCGGGGTGGGGGGGGGGGGAACGCACGAGGAGACGTGCGGCCGACGTTGTAAACACAGCTGCTGCTGCTGCTGCTGCCAACTCGGAGAACTCCAAAAAAACAAGGTGCGTGCCCCCGAGCTGCCTGATGATAATTTTCTGACGCCAAAAATAGGACAGGAATTCGCCAAGGGGAAAACACAAAACGTACGAAAGTCAACACGTTGCCTCTGAACCCAGAAAAAAAACATTGCAGTATCGTGCGTTAGGGGTGAATGGTAATCATCCGTTTGGATAGGGCCAATCCGATTCAGGATCTTTGATTTATCTGAGAGAGATTCGATGAGCTATGAAGCTCCTTTTCACAGATGTCCAGTCGGGGAGGGCCAGAAAGTTACAGCAACAAACAAAGCAGAAAATAAACGACAGGATTGCAAAGTATAGGAAAGGGAAGCAAATCACTAAAAATAAATCGAGAAACAAACTAAACAATTTGTTATTTTTGCCAAGTTAACTGGCCACAAATGATAGCTTAACGAAGTGGCTTATCATCACATGGCCATAGGACTGTGGAAATCCCGCCACTGATTAATTGCTTGGCAACGGTGACAGACTCCATCCAATTCTTGTTTTAAGATTTTGATTTGACGTTTTTTTTTTTAATGAGAAATGCAGTACTGTGTTGGATCCGTTTGCTACAACGTTTGCCATCGCACACAGCACAGGCCAACAAAATACAAATCTAAATGTGGGGTATGCAGCAATCAACCAATAAGGAAGGGAATCTCTTCCCTAAAATAGGAACAGCTGGCAGCCTGGGCATAGCTATGCCAAAAGTGAAATCAGCTTCAGGTGCTTTAAGTTAGCTTTTGCAAAGGGGGAGCACATAAATAGAGTGTGCCAGTGCCCGTAAAGGAAATTATGGGTCCAATATACACGTTTGAACTATTTACTGACGAACTCACTAAATATTTCAGGACCATTTTGTTCGGGCAGGAACGAGTCACTCGACCCCTGCCTGGTGTACCGCCGTGGCCTAATCTTCCACACTGGCCAGATGGATACGGAGAAGTGGGAATACCCACGCGCTTTGCTCCCCATAACGACGGCTGTTCACCCATTTACACTGCTGGGCGGACAGAGGCGGCGGTGGGGGGGGGGGGGGGGTGGTGGGGGACGATTTAGGAACCTCACCCCCATCGTTACAACTGCCGGGCCCGGGGATCGATTCGAACCGGCGACCTCTGGGCCGCAAAATCCGGTGCACGGAACCCGCTGCACCGCTGTGGCGGCGTCCGCTGCGAGCCTGCATGACATTCGTCAACGTATCGATGCATCGTCGTTCTAACCCCCTCCCCCCCCCCCCCCCCCCCCCCCCCCCCCCCCCCCCCCCCCCTGTCAAACACCGCTCTAAGCGATCGCAAGTGTTTATTTGAAGCAACGGCAAACAGCGACCGCGGCAACAAAAGAAAACAAAACACCGGGGATTTTGTTTACCTGCGACATCCCGCCAGGTGTCCGCCAGGCAGCCCTGCTCGGCGAGCACCTGGCACAGCGCCTCCTTGAGCTCCGCCTCCTCCCGCTCCTGGTCCCGCCCACCGGGGGCCGACGAGCCAATGAGGGAGTAGACGAAGATGAGCAGCTGCAGGATGTCGGCAGGCTGCAAGTCGCCCTCCCTGCGCTCGTCGCGAGGCTTTATCCGGGCGCGAAGCTGGCCCAGGACGCGCGGGAAGTCGCCCTCTTTCAGGATCTGCACTCTCAGACAAGCAGGGAGGAAAACAATGGGGTTTATGCAACGAAACTACGGCAATAACGGGTTTAGTGAACGAACCTATTAAAATAATAAACACATGTAATTATTTTTATTTATAAGCGACCCATAGCAAACGATAGCTCGACAAAGTGGCTCATCACGTGGAAACTTATAGCAGCCAAATGCTCCGGGGAGAGAGAGTCAACATGCAAACTCCAAATACGCAGACGTCAGGGTTGAGATCGCACCCACGACTTCCTGTATATCAATGCGAGGTAGTTAACATCTCCTAGCCACCGTGGACACCTAGGTTTAGCGAACTAACCTTGTGCACCTCCCGATTAGCACAGAGTTGGTTGCGTAGGGTGCGAAAGAAGTTCCGACATCAGAATCGGAATGTGTATCTACGCTGGAGAAATCCGATGAGCTACGAAGCTCTTTTCCACAGATGCCCAGTAGGGGGCGGGTAAGAAAGTTACAACAACGAACAATACAAAAACACGATAGGAGTGCAAGGTACAGGGAAGGCAAACGAATCACCCAAAAACATGCAAAAGGTAGGAGGATCGGGGATGGCAGCTCTCAAATGATAGTTATCAGTGTACGTCGATCACAATCACCCGTGACCAAAGAACCCGGAAACGCGCCCGATCCTCATCAGACCTTGTACGTACCGCTTCTTGCATCTGGCACAAGTCGATCAATTGTAGCGCTCGCGCGCGCACGCACGCGCGTGTGTGTGTGATTCTCAGCGTGCATCGCGAGCGTTAGGATCAATGCAAATGGTCGAATCGATGTGTTGTCTCACGTCCGCAGATCCCACCAAACGACCCCTGAGCTGCTTTGTTTTTTTGGCCTTGTTGCCCGGTAGCCGTCTTCTAATTGCGCTTGTCGGAATGATGTCGAGAGGCGAAGATTTCTCTCATTCGTAAGCACCATCGAGGACAATGCTGTTACAGCGGTACTTATGAAGCCCGTCCATTCCACTGACATCCTCTGTCCGCTATTATAAGCCCTGTGAAGAGCCTTGGTGGCATGTTAGTCAACACTGAAATGTGTTTCATTGTCAGAGATTAAATTAAGCCTAAGTTAGCGTGGTGGCTTTCCACAACTCGCTGCACTTGAGAGTCCGGTTAAATCACAGGCGGCTGCGATAAGGAAAACACAAGCTCCCCAGTCGTGTGCTGCGACTGTGGTCATCCAGAACAGATCGCACAACGTATAACGATGCTACGCCCGATCCACAAATACGAAGGAGACACCACGGCGATGATACACTCCGCTCGCTACTCCTGACGCGGTTAACTCGGCTTGGCCACCACCTGAATGTAAAATTGTAGTTGTTGCTCTGCATCTACATCAGTTGTGCAAAAAAAGAAGAATAAATTAACTATTTTTTATTTTACCAGGTAAGGCCCAATGAGCTATGTAGCTCTTTTTCAGAAACGATCTGGCCACAAATGATAGCCCAATGAAGTTGCTAATCACGTGGAAATGAATAGCAGCCAAATACATGTTTCTAAATGTGGAGGTAAAAACCGGAGGACCTGGAGAATAATCCACGTGACCACGGGGAGACCATTAAAACCACAAATATACAGGCATCAGGGTCGTTAACATCTCGCTACCGCAGTGCGCTAAGACAGCTGGCTGGTGCCAGATTCAAACAAACCTTGCATCTCGGCGGTGATGGCTCGGCATCTGTGGCACGGTACAGGCGCCCCCCCCTTTAGCCACCCAGCAACCATCACCCCAAAGTACTCTTAACTCAATTTCCTTCCCTTAGAAGCCAGCAGCCCGCTCGTTGAGATGCAATATTCTGAACGTGCGAGACCTAGATACCCGTGCAAGGAAATGAGTGTTATTACAGTATTTTCTTTTTTCTTTTCTTTTCCAAAAAGTAGTCGCTGGGTAATTTGCAATTTTGGGAAGCGGCGAGCTTTAAATGGGAAGCACATGTGGAAAAAGTGACACGGGGGGGTTGCGAACGGTTCGTGGCAGACAAATATCAAGAACAAGGGGAAGAGAGATGTTGATGATGACGACTTGAAAAACAGAATGACGTTAGGCAAGAAGGTAATTATCGACATTGACAGAAAGTGGTACAATTTAGGACACGCACATTCAATAGAAACGTGTTAGGTAGAAGGTGGAGTTGAAACGTGGCTTTCCATTAAAATAAGCTTAATTTAGATCCATAATATACTAAGAACACCTTATATGCTTGGTTCTTTCGGTAAAGTCACGTAGAAGGGAAACAATAAAATAATAATAATAATAAATTATTGCTGTGGTTTTCACACCTGATGATGATTGCTTGTGTTGCAGTCGAGACGTCGTGATAATTTTATTGTTTTATATTTTTATTATTTTACTGTTTCCCTTCTATGTGGTGACTTTACCGAAAGAACCAAGAATATGAATCCCTGCAGTCACGAAAGCTTTAAATCAAAATAAGAACACCTTGTTTTATACAGAGTTTCAAGTGAGCTTCGTTGAGCTATCGTTTGTGGCCAGGTCGCTCCCGAAGTTTCAGTATATTTATTTATAGTGACTTGCTTACTTTGACTATACTTTGCACTCCTATTGTTTGTTTGTATTTGTTGTTGTTGTAACTTTCTGACCTGACCCTACTGGACATTTGTGAAAAAGAGCTTCATAGCTCATCAGATTTCTCCAGGATAAATAAATATTCTGATACACACCAGACCCAGTTTTCCCAAATCCTTTGAAATGTAATTGCAGAATTCCAATGTGCATCTACACATTGGAGAGACTGGCCTCGGTCAGAGGAATGTGGAATTGCCACCAGAGTCGCCAGCGGCGATGACTTTGCATCTTGTTGATTTGGCTTCATTTACCCAGGAAGGCTTCACGGAGTCCCAAGACTCATTTTCTCCGTTAGGACGCTTGGCCAAACCTTAAATTGGCAACGTGTCGGCATGTGGACAGAAGCCGAAAGTAGGTGATGTAAAACGCGGGGAGAGCAACTCAAACCTCCGTACGGATACGTCGGAAAGCCGCCCGCTCCGCCGTACTGCCTTGCTGGATGCCACTCTGTTGCATGTTGGGAAGCAAACCAGCGCACCCGTAAAAATAACCGCGCACGCTTCGAAGACCAACGCTCAACAGAGGTCCACACGGTCGAGGCAGGCCAGGAACACCACTTGCTGCACTGCCACCTGCCGGCCACTTCACGGCCGGTGAGCCAGAAGTCTCACAGCTGCGTGGTGATCTCCGTGCGATCCATGAACCCCACCTGGACGACCACGGGAGTGCGCACGTCCCCGCACTAGGATGCGAGGTGATGACGCAAGCACCGCGCGGCTGCACTCGGCTGAACCCAAGTCTGAGCTCCATTACGGACTTGTTGAAGATATCGCGAGCGCGTTTTATTTAACCTCCATTGGGGAAGTGAATAACGATGTTTAAGAGCGCGACGGATGCGTAAAATGTCATTCTCATTGCAACACCGTCGGGTAAAGTCACCGATGAGATGCAAGTGCGTAGCGGCCCGTCATTAACAAAACAAACTGCGGGGTTCACACGATGGAGCGGTTAACCGTGGCCGTTTAAAAACAACAGCGCGGGTGTGAACGTACCGAAGGCTGCGAATTGCGAGCATGGCCTTTTGCAATATTTTACCCATTACTTAAAAAAAACACGTTCCTCTTCTGTTTTCTATTTTTCCACAGCGATTTGGCAGATTTTTAAACACCAAAGTGTAAGCAATTAAAGAGGAAATGGTACTCAACATGAACGTTAATTAATTTAAATGGACACATTTAATATTTTTTTCCCCCAACGTAATTACATCTGTACTCTTGGCCGCATGGCTTGTGACATTCGGTCGTCTGGGGGAGCAATGCCTCACCCCGTGTGTTAGAGGATGGCTTCGTAGAACTAGATATCACAGAACTACTGCTGAGCTACCTTAACGTGGCCTTTTTTCGACCAAACACCACGTGGACACACAGCTGCCCATGCGCCCTGTTCCAGAGAGCAACGTTCCATGCGTGACATTCAACGGGATCATTTTAATTATCAGACGCTCGAATGTTTCGAAAGCAAGCGGAACAATCAACGTGCAATGCGATGGATGTTGTCTGGTAGTCATTTGGTGAGAGCGCTGAATCCATCAACCCGTGACAATTTTTTTTTTTAAATCGGGTTTTATCATAGGTGGCTGAATCCCAGAAGCGAGCGCAAGCTCTCACCAGGTTACAGATCTTTGCTCCGAACCTTGAACCACATGGCTACTTCACCGGAAACTAATCTTAAGCCTTTCTCGTTCCGAGGCGTAGGCAAGTCGCAGGGTGGGTGTCGCGTTCGCCGCCGAATCTCGGAATGAGCAATTAGCTCGGTGTTAATTATGTTTTTAAAAACATTGTTACTCACCGCAGAGAACCGTAGCGACGCAACCGCACTCCGTGATAGCTGGCGCCAAACTGTACCACATTCCCTCCCGCATGGCACTGTGGGAGCCTCGGTACCGATTTTTATTTTATTTTCACGTCTGATTTCGTTTTCATGGTGTACGCGTACGTTATCGGAACGGGAAAGGGTTCACGGAAGTTGAGTCCTGGCAACACCTCTATATTTTATCAACAGATTGATAAATGAGTCGCTTATAGTTGGACAGGACCGTACCCCGACCTCTACAGAATTAACTTTACGTTTGATTATGCTTCGAAAACGTGAAAAAGTTTGTATTAATGGCAGAAAACAGTCTTGCTTCTATCTGTGCGTTTGCCTCAGGTCATGTGACAATATGAATTAATGCGGCAACTGGTCGCCTCCAAGGGAATGTGGAATTTCCGCTACCATTTGAGCAGGTAAACACTTGATTTTAACTGGCTTTTTTTTTGTTTGCAAAAAAACCTAAAGTGAGCACGTGAGGCAGTACTTATCTCCAGCAGCAGGCCTCAACCAGCGGCGGAAATTCCACATTCCCGGCAGCAGGAGTCATCCTCCCGATTATTCAAACGCGATTATCG